ACACACACACAGGATTCTACAGACATACACACACACAGGATTCTACACACACACACACACACACACAGGATTCTACACAGACACACACACAGAATTCTACACACATACACACACACAGGATTCTACACACACACACACACACACACAGAGGATTCTACACACACACACACACACAAGATTCTATACACACATACACTTACAGGATTCTACACACACACAGACACACACACATACACATGAGCACACACAATGGTTAACTACAAGCTGATAGGTGTTAACTAGCTTGACTGTGGTAATCATTTTATGGTGTGTCCATATATCAAGGCTTCAAAGATACCCCTGAGACAATACAGTTTTGTCAATTATACTTCAATAAAGCTGAAAAGTATTTTCCATATGATAGACTATTCCCAGTGTATTTATCCCTATAAACAGGACGAACAGCCAATAGGCTAACATGTCTTCAGGATTTTGACATTCTACAGTATTTGCTGATGCAATATTGCTCACTCCGTCCTGCACTGTACAGGAATTGGCCCCATAGGCTCATGTATTTAAGGCCTGATTTCTAGCTGCTTGAAATTTCACTCCATGGGGCCTACCCAGCAGAAGTCAGTTGCATGGACATGTCCTTGGGTTCCTATGGTGTTCTGTTTCCTTCCCTGGCTCCCTCCCCTCCCCCTGCCCCAGAGCCTCTTGTCTACCATGAGGTTTGTTCTACCACACGCTTCTACCCGGCCTCACTACACAAAACCAAATTCCTGAGGGACTGTGGACTGAAAGCCTGAGGAAAAAGCTACTTTAGTTTCTCTCAAGCATTTGATGAGCTCTTGAAGAGCTAACACATCTGGCAGTTCCTTGTGGGTATCTTCAGACCACACACGTGCCAACCTTTAACATAGTATTTGTTTGTTGCAAGTTTCTTTTCCAGGGCTTGAACTCTGCGCCTTCCACACACTAGTAAACACTTTCCCATTGAACTTTCACACACATTAGGAAAGGAGATACAGCTGTATCCGAAGTCCTTTTTATTAACAGTTTTTACATTTTTTTTGCCAATTTTTAAACTATTTATTTATTTATTTATTTATTTACTTTTCCAAAAGTGGACTGTTGACACGATGGCATGCATTAAACACCCTCCACACGGGCACCAGAATGCAGATCTTCTGGACACATTCATAAACACTCAAGAGTCACTGATTATGTCGCATTAAGGGACAAACCACTTCTCTTTGGTTTCATTTAACCGAGAGCAAGTCTCGATTGGAATTCTGCACCTCATGCTCCTATGTCTTCTGTCCTGTCCGTTGTTGAGTCTGAATCTCTGCTCTGCCTGAAGGCTGTCATTTGAGCGTGGCCCTGAGTGTCTGTCCCTAACAAGGGGCTCTGCTCTGTATTTATTGAGCAGCAGAGAAAGGTATCCTGTGGGGAAGTAAGAAGGAATGCCAGAGAAATCTTTAACAGATTTTACAAGAGATTAAGTCACGGATACCCACTGGCCTCATCACAAACAGCAAATAAGCAACATCAGAATGTTGTGTTCAATATTTACAGTGAATGTTCATTTAATAAAAATGCTTTAAATCTCTCTTTTTTATGTTTTCAGCAAATGATTATTAGAGCACAAATACATGACGCTGGGCTCATGGCATGGGGGTGCACACAGTAGAAGCTTATAGCTATGCATTAGTTTAGATCCTGAAAGTTAGTTACATGGGAAACCTAAGATAAGTAAAGTCCATTGTTACATTGTTCTCTTAAAGGCAGGTTAGACAAACAGGCTGATTACAGAGTAGTCTTGAGTGACCTCAATGTGTATTATTAACTTTAGCTGAGAGGCCCAGCAAAGCTTCCAGTCTCTTAGAATGTAAGATAATTTTATCAAAATGCATTCCCACACTCAAGTCTTTTGTCTATGTGCAATTGGATTCTAACGTTTCCATCAACTGTTTTAAATCTACGAGTCGTAAGAAGTAACACTTGCATTATTCCCGCCAGCTCCATCTTCAGCTCATTGCTTGGCCCTGTTTTGTGGTTTGTTATTGTGGGTGTTCTGCATGTGAGGTGAGGCTCCGCCACTGAGCTGGGTCTCCTCTGGCAATGCTTACTTTTAAATTTTGAGATAGTTTCACAAAACTGCTCAGACTGGCCTTGAAATCACTTTGTAGCCCGGGTTTTGAACTTGGGATACTCCTGCCTTGGCAGTATAACTGGGTCACAAGCCTGGGGTATTTTTCTCTTACATAGATGTTTCTGATTTACATTAGCCAAACCTGCCTTTATTTTGTGTCTTTAGACGTGCACTGTGCACATGCAGAGAAGAGGTTTATATGACACTGGACCCACCATAATGGACTATTTAGAAATGACACAGAAGATAGCCACCCATTCCCCTGCCTGGGTCTGACTGTCCCTGAGCAGAGCTTACACTTTGGCACCTTCTGTGCCAAACCCTGGAATTTATTACAGTGGCCAGACTTGTCAAGCACCAAGACACACTCTTATTACAGATAAACAGGACATATATGTTGTATGCATGTTGGGTGCTTTCCTGAAGGGGCCAGAGCAAGGTTTCCAAATCTTCCTCTTTCCTGACACCATTTCTGTGGCGCTGGGTCTCTAGCTAAATTGGAGGCTTCCTGTTTAGATTGAGCTAGCTGGTCAGGGTCTGGGGCTTCGGTTGAGTCCCTACCTTCTTTGATGGGGTTATAGGCACACCAGCCATGCCAGGCTCTTTACTTGGGTGTCGGGATTACATTTAGATCCTCACACTTGCATAGCAAACCCCTTACCACTAAGCCACGTCTCTCCTGCCCCCAGGAACTGTTAGTATAATTATGTCCCCCAAATAACAAAGGCCATATGATACCAAGAAAGTATTAACGTGGCACCCTGTGTTTTTATTTTGGGCAACCTGGCACTCCTGGTCTGGCCGTTTTAGTTGGTGCTGGGGAAGATGGAAGTGAAGATGGTTTTAGGTCTCATAGAGTGCAAAGCCGGTTTAGCAGAGATTTCCCCCGCTCTAACAATGTCTGCTAAAAGCCCTTCTCTGGCCTAAGTCATCTTCCTGTAGCCGGGCAGGCCGTACACACCCCCAGCCCAGACTCATTCCTTTGGGGACCGGAAGAATCCTGAAGCCTGAGGTTCTGGTGGGACCCTGTGTGATGATTCGGCTCCGGTAAATGTACAGAGCGCCGGCCAATCCTGTGTCCGGGAACCCGGGCGCAACATCTCAGGCCAGGCGCTCACCCTGGCGGCCTCCGACCCGCGCTACGCTCGCGAGTCCTTCCCGGGCCGCGGCTCCGCGCGGCGGGGTGCAGGGACGCCTTCTCTCCCGCGCGCCCGGCTCTGCAAGCTGAGATTCCGGTGAGACGGACCGGGCCAGCCGTGCGGCGGGGGCGCGCAGGCGGGGGCGTGGGCGGCGAGGACGCGCGGGGTCGGCGGGCGCGCGTGGAGAGCAGGCGGGAGGGCTCGCGTGGAGATGGCGGCGGCGCAGGGGCCTGCGGTGGCAAAGGCCGCCACGACTTCCTCGGCGCGGAGGCAGGGGGCTGGCTGGGGTGCCGCAGCAGGTCGTGGGAGGCTCGCCGCTGACGTGGGGGAGAAACGCAGTAGCGTTTCCGCTTCCCGTGTCCGCGTGCCGGAGGGCGGCGACACAAAGGCGCAGAGTCCCGGGAACCGAGAACCCTGCTGCTCCCTGCAGGAAGGGCGCCTGCATGGCCGCCCTCCCACACCCTCTGGCCCGGCTCAGATGAGTGTGTGTGTGTGTGTGTGTGTGTGTGTGTGTGTGTGTGTGTACGCGCGCATCGGTGAGCGCAGGAGACCTAACTTCCCACTTGAGTGAGGCAGGGTCTCTCAGTCAAACCTAGGCTCGTTCCCTGGAGAAGAGCTGGATTGCAGTCCCTCAGAGCATGTTAAGTGGGACCCGTGGATCTGAATTTGGGCCCTCAAGCCTGGGCAGCAAATGTTTAACCACGGAGCCATCTCCCCAGTTCTCAGTTTAAAGAGCTCTTTCGCTTTCTACTCTCTGGATTCATCTGTTCAGTGGCAAGACTGGGAGACACCAGTTTTTATGCAGGCTCCCATCTCCCAGATTCTAGGTGTGCATAGCTGTTGTGTTGGCTGCTTTTAGATTACGGCCTTGTACTTGTGGGAACTGACTCTGTGTTACGCTGTTTGTGTCTGCTCCTTGCAGTGTGGTGTTCTATTACTTCTTAGAGCTAAGCATCTGCTCTAGTGCTATAGGGATATAGCTTTCAGGGAAGGCACTGTAGGACTTTGGGCTTTCACTCTGAGTCTAGAATTCCATTCTCTTCCCCGCTTCTATTCTTCATGTTCTGTGTTCCCTGTGATTTTTCTCTCGGTAGGATGGATCATGTGCTGGCTAAGGACAGTTCTGACCCTAGAGGTGCAGTTAATAATTTAAGTGTATATGTTGGTTTGACAGCATCCCGGAAAGACAAACTATGTTCACTAAAGAGCGTTCAAGGCTACCAGCACCACTGACTTGTCTGTGCTAGTCTGATGTCTGGACCCTTCTTTGGGGGTAAAGGCGTCACCTGTTTTTTACTTTGCTTTCTCTTGGAGATTCACCAACTGAAGGTGAGGTCAAGGCCCTGGTTGGCAGTTGGCAAGATCTCCTGGTGCCATCAGGCACTGGTCAGTGTGGCCCAAGGACAGGTGTGCCATACTTCGGGGCCTCGGGGAAATAAAATTCTTGGTTCTTGCAGAACTTGCTACAAGCCTTTTTGGAGGGTTTTTTAAAGGGTGAGGAGAGAACTCAGGACAGTGCTGCTTGGAAGGAGGAGATCGAGAGGTCAGGGCAGCCATTGCCATATGAGACCCTGTACCAAAAAGCAAAACCAAGTCTAAAAATAAGTAAAAGACATAAAAATTCAGGGATTATACATGATATTGTAAGACCCCCGGAGTGGGGAAACCCCCACTGAAGCCACAGGAGATTATGATCATCCAGAATCACTCGAGACCAAACTTGCTGCAAACCGCAAAAGGCTTTATTTCTGGATTTCGGGGTATCAGTCAGCTGAGGCCGAGGTTCACAAGGGAAGCATTGACCTTGAGGTTCGGGAGCAAGGGGTATTTAAAGGAGAAAACCACAAACCAGGGGGGGAAGGGGGAAACCAGGAGGTGACAGTGGAGAAAGCCCAACCTACATCATAAAAACAATTGGAAAGTTTCAACCTATTATTCGGCTAGTCACAAACCAGAGTGGGGAGTGGGAAACATCCTGTACACATTCTATTCAGGAATGTGACCTTAGCCTAGTCATTTACCTTGTGGTCAGTCACTTCCTGGGGTGACTTGGCCAACCTGTATTACTAGTTCTGCTATTCTTTGTGGGAACGACCTGGCTGACTTGCCCCCTGGCTAGTTCTTTCTTAGGGTGGCCAGCTAGTTCCTGGAACCTAGGCCTGTGAACCTGCCAACCTTAATTCAGATGAGGGGGTCTCAAGCTTCTCTATGAATTTTTATATCCTTACAATACTGAAACAAAGTTGTCAAAATGCCACAAAAGCTCAGATTTGTATAATGTTCTATCGAGGGATATTTGATCACACTGTGACCCCTGAGGTTGGTTATTTTTTTTACTGAAAAAACCTGTTTCCAGTTGTGGTGTGGCTCAGTCCTTAGCACACACCTTTAATCCTTCTGCCTGGAATGCAGACACACTCTTAGTACACACCTTTAAGGCCAAACAAGGTAAGTTAGGTTGTAGAAGGAAGCAGCCATGTTTGAAAGTGATGTCTAATTGAGTGGCAGACAAAGTGACAAATCAGAGAAAGATTTCACAGAATAGGACATGCCCAATTCTCATGAGAAGAGAGGCAACATAAAAGGGAGTAGAAGGGAGAGGGAGGGGGAGGGGGAGGGGGAGGGAGAGGAGGCAGTTGTTTAAGTTACCCTTTTCATTCCTTTGATCAATATGCCCCACGATAAGCATTTCCAGAGAGAAGGGTTTTTTCCTCATGCAGGTTAGGCTTCATTCCATTAGTGGAGGGGGGCGGGGCTTCTGGACACATTGTATCTATAGTCAGGAGGCAGAAAATGAACAGGAAGTGTGGCCTGGCTATAAACCTGAATGTCTGCACCTGGTGACCTGCCAGGCTCCACCTCTTAAAGGTTCCACAACCTTCTCAAACAAGTTCACTAGTCGGGCACCAGATGTTCAAACAATGAGCCTGTGGGGAACATTTCAGGGAAGGAAAAGGAGTTACTTTAGTTTAGTCTACACCCTGAGATGACCTGAGGATGCTCTAAGGAGCCAGCCACTTTGTGGCACCCGCCTTTAATCTCAGCACTTGAGAGACAGAGGCAGGTAGATTTCTGAGTTCGAAGTCAGCCTGGTCTACAGAGTGAGTTCCAGGACAGCCAGGGCTACACCGAGAAACCCTGTCTCAAAAAAACCCCCAAAAAATAAAAAAATAAAAAAATAAAACAAATTAAATAAAAGAAAATTGAGAAGAAATTTTCTAGGTTTTCAAAAAAAAAAAAAAAACAAAAACCAGTCAAGACACAAGGACTAGAAGAGTTGAGAGTAATCTTGAGAAACTGAGTGTAGCTTAAAGTCCTTTTCACTGCCAAGTTTTCCAGACCAGTTTGGCTTTAATCTACAAAACATAAACAAAGAAATAAGAAAGGAAGAGAGGCCACTACTTGGTTGTTTATGAGGACGCTATAGCATTGCTGTGAAACTTGACAGGAAAATCACTAGAAACTTTGTGGGACCTAAAGTTGTTAAAGATACAAAGGATAGAAAACAGTCAGGTGGCTGGCTCTGGTTTACTCCAGGCAAGTAAGTTTTGTTCATACCAGGAAGGAATAAACTAGTTAAAGCCCAACTATTGAATTAGGGAGAAAAAGTATTTGATAAGTCATGTGTCTGTGTGCAGTACATACAGACTTTTGGCTGTGGCTGTGACTCAGTTGGTAGTGTGCCTGCTGAACACACACTGAGCCCTGGGTTCCATCCTCAGCACTGTATAAACAGGCACGGTAGCTTGTGTCTCTAACTCTGGCGCTGTGGATATTCAAAGGCGTACTATGTTACATCATGGGAGGCTGCCTGGGTAACAGCAGATAAGGTCTAAAAACAAACAAAACAAAACAAAAAAATGCTTTTAAAGGAGGGAAATTAAAGAAGATTTAAAATAATGGAAGATATATCATTGTTTTTCAGAGCCACAGAGTCATAATTCAATCTTGGGCTGGTTGTAGTGACTCATGCCTTTAATCCCAGCATTCTGGAGGCAGCGTCAGGAGGATCTCTGTGTGGTCCAGGCCAGTTCGGTACGGTCTACATAGCAAGTTCCAGCCCAGGCAGAGTTACATCACCATTTAAAAAAAATCAAAACTCAGGAGATTATTTTTTCAAAAATAGAATTGATAAGCTGATGCTGGTATGTGGGTCTGTGTTTTTTTTGCCTTACTGCTGGTGTGTCGGAACACAGCCAGTCCCACGCTTGGGGAGTGAAAACGCAGTCTAAGATAGGGGTCCCAGCCCATCTCTGTTTTTCCGGGTGAGAAATGGCGGTAAATGGAATGGAGGCTGTGGTTCCCATCCTCCTGTGTACCCAGAAGCTGCTGGGAATTGGGTACAGACTGCAGACCTGTGATGAGGCCGGGATGGGGGGGATGTGTGAGTGCCAGGGGTGCAGAGGACCCTTCTGCGTGGGCCTTAGGGGTGGTCTGTATGACAAAGGTCTCCCCCAGGCGGTTCTTGATGAAGGAGACAGTCCTTGCTCCTCCAAACTGCTTTATTCATGTCAGATTCGGATGCATGCGACTTACTCAGTATGAATCAGAGGTTAAATACCTTTTGCAGGAAGTGATATTCATTGGTTAAACACTCGGACCCCTTAGCTACCTCAATTAGCCTGGAGAACTCTAGGCTCTATGCTATGTGACTGCTTGTCATAGTCCTCTTAGTGGGACGTCGTGGTCATGTGCTCCAGGAAAGGAATCTGGTCGGGAGCTAGTTCAAACTCCTGCTGTTCACAATTTTTACCTGGGTTCTGAATTTGCTAAAACCTTAACTGTTCTGTCTGGTGGCACGGTCCACTGCCCCACACTGAGTGTGCTGTTAAGTGACGCTCAAACCTGGACAAAGGTGAGCTGTGGAGGTGGAGATCGGACTGGGGTCAGTTCTGGTGCATGCAGTTAGTGACAAGGAGAGAAGGGGGTTCTGGGACTTGTTGGTGTCAGAGTGTCATTAGTGTGCTGTTAGAAATATTGATGGACACATTTGTGCCTTTCCATAGTGACAGAATTTATTAAATAATGATAAATTCACAACCAACACCGTTTTTACTGGCTGCAGTTTGCCATATAGTTATGGTTTCCCTTGGTAG